TGTTCTGCAACAGCTTGTTTTTTCTAGTAGATGTAAATTTAACTGAGTGCTGAGCCTGGTGAAATGAAAATGGAATAAATGACTGCATTTTTTATTAGGAAAGTACTAATGGCAGTGCAGGGAACTTGGGTTTACTCCTACCTAGACTTCTTTATTCGAAGATTCAAACCCATCACAGGATCTGACCGACTCTCCTTGTCCTCATGGAAGAAAAATGTTGGTAAGAGTTTGTTGCTGAAGAGCTCTTCAGTCCCTGTCTAAGAAAATAATTAAGAGAGAAAGCCCATTTGGAGGGGTCTCCGGTGTGTTACATGGGTGGCCTTATGGGAAGTAGTAAATGAGGTGGCACTCCGTTCAGTAATTGTACCGACTCTGGGCAATGAGTTGCTTTGCGATTGCTACTGCTTCTGTAATAGGGGCATAATGAGCAACAAAACCTCACTGCCAATTGCTGAGGGTATATTCTCTAAGATGCAGGTTAATTCAGGCAGTCAAAGAAAACAGCTTGACAAAAAGTAACATTTATCTGGCAGTTGTTGTGAATGTGACCAGAAAAACAGATAGCCTGTAGCATTTTATTAAGAAGCAGGTAGTCTCTTACTGATTTCTTCTCCGCTACTGTTTTAAAACTGACCTTTTACAGGGTTTTCTCTTAGTAATTCTTTTGAATCTAAAAATTATAATTATGGTCTAATTTGATAAACTTCTACTCATAGAGGTAGGCCTTAACACCACTGAAATCAGGGGAAATCATTTCTAAAGGAAGAAGTTGTTATGTGAGATGGGGACTGGACCCATCTGTTCCCAGGCAAGGACCACAGTGCCCAGGCTGGGGCAGTGGGTGCAGGCCCATCGCGTTTCCATTTCTTGAATACCCTGTGCCATCCTGAGGAAATCCTGCACATTTTTTGCATCTAAAACAGAGGTTACAAAACCAGTTAGATGAATGTATATTTGCCAAGTGCCTTAAGATCCTCTGATGAAATGCAATTTGCGGTTAAAAGGATCACACACCAAGCTGTGGTTTTTCCTGCCGTGACTTGTGGACCCGCTGGCCATTTTATCCAACCACCACCCTGGTCCCAGCAGGTCAGTTTCCATCCGCACACCAACCCGTGAACACAAAACGGCTTCATGGATGTGCCTGGTCTAGCAGAGGAGAGGCTTGTTTTCAAATGCAGCAACCTGGTAAATGATGGGTTACAAAGGACTTCACCAGTAAGGGTAACTGTTTATGCATTTCATCCTACCAAAACTCAGGGATACTTTATTACTTAGGGTGAAACTTGGTCGTACTGACATTCATGGCCTTTTGAAGGTTTTTTGAAGTTTTTGAAGTTCAAGGTCCTTTTGAAGATTTCCCAGAACAGCTAGGCAAAGACTCAGAGAAAATGAATTAACCTCCTCTACATTTAAGTAGTCAAATATACAACGAAGGTAAATGGCAGAGCGACCTTCCAGAAAATGAAAGCATTCACCACACTGCTGCCTTATTACCTATGCAGAGCTCCAGATAAGTTGTCTGCTAGGATGAACTTTGCCTCCTCATTTCCATCCTCTCAGGGACGTCTCAACTTGTAATCATTAATGAACTATCCCTGTAATGGAAGGGTGACTGTACAGTCTGGATATCGTTCAGCGCTGCTTTGGGAAACCAGAAGTTACTGAAAATGTCGAGCAGGTATCACAAAGCAGCAGCCGACGGCAATTTGGACCTCTTGAAAGAAGCCACTAGGAAAGACCTCAATACTTCAGATGAAGACGGGATGACGCCTACCCTTCTGGCAGCATACCATGGGTATCTAGAAGCTCTGGAAGTCATATGCCGGAGGGGGTAAGTCAATCAGCCTCCATTGCTTAAAGTTTGTGGCTCAAAACTAGAATTAGTGTGTCATGTTTCTAACGCCCCAATGACCTCAGACCCAAAAGGCTGAAAATCCCGCTCATTTCTTTCAATGCATTGCCAAGAATTGTTTCTCTTTATTTGCAATGGTTTAGGCCCAGAACCTGTGAGCGGGTCTGTACGTGGGGCTGGTGAAGCCACATGGGCATCAGCGGGACCATCTCGTGTATGGAGCCTGCAGGGAGGGGTCAGTAGGAGCAGGGCCTTGGGACCTTGCCTTGCTATAGTGGAGGAGAAGCTGGCCAACAACCTTTGATGATAACATATCTTTGAAACAGGCGCTATAGAGAAATGCATCGATTGAAACATTTTGAGCAAAAAAGCTCTCCCATTTGCTTCCAAAGTGCAGTTAGTAGACACCTGTGAAGATTTAATGCTTTCCAGAGGCAAGTCGCAACTGATAGTTTTGAGACAGTAACATCTAAAACTGTTATTTCTCTGCTTTTTATAGTACTAGCAACTACCACCATGCTAAAAATGATAATATCGTTTCAGAAGCTGTGGCAGGATCATTGTAAACTGGAAAAAAAAAAAAAAAAAAAAGAAAAGAAAAAAGGAAAGGAAGATTTTCTACAGGTTTATTTTCTAATAGTAATATTTCTGTTTGGTATCATTTAAATGCACTACGCACTTAAAATGTATTAATGAAATGATAATTACCTCCCCACCCTCCATACTCTCTTGCTTGGAGCCTACCTTTTAAGCTGTGACTCTGTAGTAAGATCTAATAAAAGAAAATCTACTCTTGTGTAGAGATACAGTTAATTAAATGTTCTTTCTGGGCTGAGATGAAGATTAAGTTGACCTGTATTTTCAATCATAATAGTTTAAAGAAGATCGGAGGGAAAAGTTGAATAACTATTTGGATGCATTTGAGTTTTCTTTTATTAAAAATAGAATTGAAAATATAGAATAAAAATAGTTTTTCCATAGATTTGCTTTATAGCTCATTGAGCTCAGGTGTGGCTGTAATAACACAATAAAAAAGACCTTTGGACTGCATGGTTATTGCTGTGTCCTCCGGAGAAGCAAAAATAGACAGTTTTTCAACTCACTATAATTAAGGCAGCTCCAAGGAAATATCTAGAGTCAATAAAGGCTTGTCCCTGAACACCTAGAAGACAGAACAACTAGCTAAGGAACAAATAATGAAATATTTTTTTTCAAAACTTGAGTGAAAAATATGTCTTCTACCATATAAGCTGATAGAAGTCACAGAAGATGACACAAAGATTAGAATTTCTATGTATTTGTTATTTAATGTATTTCTAACTCTTTTTCTTGGTAGAGGACAGCTTTGGGACAGTATTGCCCTCAAAATCTTCAAACATATGATTCACCTTTATTTTAACCCAAGACTTCTTGACACGATCAGCAAGCTGTGGCTGTCAGAGATATGGCTGTAGTCTCACTAGTCTTCTTTGGAGAAGCTGAATTTTGGAAGATGTTCAATTTGTTCTGCAGTCAGTTAGTGTTTTCTTGTGAGAAAGTATTTTAATTATTTTTAACAAATTCGTCCTTTCCTTGAAGAGGTTTTCTGACAAAGGCACTGAGATACAGGATGGTTTTCTTTAGAGTGGTTGCAGATTTTAGGACTCTCCAGCTTGCAACACATTCAGCCCTTGGAAAATGCCGCAATACTGACAATAAACCCCTTTCATCTTGAAATAGTTTGTCTTCCCAAACATCAAGAGACGTTTTCTCTGCTTGCTTTGCAGGTACATGAATAAAGGCAAGACCAAGCAGCAGATCAGCTCTCTTTTGTGTGAGCCTCTTTCTTGGGAAAGCAGGGAAAAGAGGAATATGAGAACCCAAAGTAGATGTCAAACCTTATCCAAAGCCCGACTGAGCTGGGAACAGATGCTCTAGTTTGTCAGTTGTTTGAAGCTCAAAGGTTGGCAGGCTCCAGGGGGAAAAGAGACCACAAACAGCTATGAAGGGACCTGGGGGAGGATGGATGTCCGGGCACTCCCAAGGCTCAGGATAACGCAGCCTGTTTAGTAATGCGGGAATTAAGGAATCTGGCACGGTCGGCCACAGTCAGGCAGTTCCCCAGGGCAGAGCCACAAAAGCAGAAATAGGTACATGTGGGTTCCATATGTCTAAGTGGTGAAACTTTGATCCTCAGCTGCCACCTCCTTGCAGAAATGCCTGCGCTCTTGCAGCCTGGCACGCTCAGACTTGCCATTGTTTCTCAATGCCAGCAGCTCTGTGTCTCAGCTCTGCGGGGACCTTGACCTCTCTTGCCTGTGGCATTCAGCCTGAAGGATGTTTTCATATTCGGCGTCAACAAATATGTTAGTGCTTTTCTTCAGAGATTCTCAAAGCCAGAGATCAATGTGTGAAGGAGATTTTGTGATAGGATGTACCATTTCATTCATAGTACCGCTGCCGTGGAACACATCACTGAAATACTTAAACTCCCAAGATTAGAAATTCTCCTTGTGAATTTGGCCCCTGGCTCTGAAGTTATTAAAGGTTTTGGGCTGCTGTGGCTGTCTTGGTTATTGGTCACAAGATGACTCAAGCTCTGTTCTGAACATTGTTAATGTTGATGCTGCCAAATAAGTATCAAAAGATTCACACCGATTCTCATCTGCAGGCAGCAGTTCAGTGTGAAGTCAGTGCAAGAGTTAAAAAGAAAGCAGTACTTTTCACTGGCTTTAAATTCAATTGAAACAATGTGGTATTTTATTTTCAAATGAGCTTCTGCTTTTCAAACCTCATGAGCAAAAGCAGCTTAGGGAGAACAAAAAAGCTGAAGAAAAACAATGGCATCTATCTGAGAGTAATCTAATAGCAATGGAGACAAATGTGTAATTGGGGCTTTACTCCTAATCATTTACCTATTACCTACCAAGAAAGGTACTGGATGGGCTCATTAAATATGTATCACTGTGGCCAGTGAAGAATCCTCCTAATATTGCCCCTGCATTTGACATGCAAAAGGGAAGAGTCACCAAAAAGCCTTTAAAATATTCAACGGAAAAGCTATTGCAACAGTTTTGGCATTAAAAGTCGAACTCTGAGCCCACTTTGAGCTGTCAGCAGCGAAGGAGCCAGCGCTGCAGCCCCATGCCTGCACATGGGTGGCTGCTTCTTTCTGCCCCGTTGCAGGAGGTGGGTGAGACCAGCCGGGAGCAAAGCAAGCCCCGCCAGCAGCCCTGCCAGACCCTGGGATGACAGAAAGAAAATACCCTGGCTCCCTTACGAAGAGTCGTATATGCAGTCACAGTCAGCCCCAACGAGCTTGCTTAATTCACAGACAGGCAGGAATCAGAGCTTATGCCACACACGTAGCCAAACTCAGTGCTCACATAAGTAGGTGCAGTGCCGTTCCAGAGGATGGAGCTAAGCTGGCTCACTTTCATTGGGCTGTACTCCTCCTGGTAAAGCTGAGCTAAATGTTTAATATCTGTTCAATCCTGCTGCACTGCTATGCGTGGGTATGTCCAGCTCATTGTATGCTATTTCCCTTCTCAGAGGTGATCCAGACAAATGTGACATCTGGGGGAACACACCTCTCCACCATGCTGCCTGCAATGGTCACATCCACTGTGTTTCTTTTTTGATCAACTTTGGTGCCAATATATTTGCTCTGGACAATGACCTCCGCACTCCCCTGGAGGCGGCTGCCAGCAGAGACCGCAATGAATGTGTCAGAATCCTGGACAAAGCCGCCACCGAGCAGAACATACGGAACCCAAAGAAGGTCTCCAAACTCAAAGCACAGGCCCAGAGGAATGTGGAGAAACAAATCAAGGAATGTGAGAAGCGCCAACAGAAACACCAGCATGAAATGAACCGGAATTATACAAAAGAAAAGGTTGGCACAGTAAATTCTTCCAGAGGGACACACTCCAGAGTAAAGCTGCCTAGCCTCTTTGCTTCAAATACAACAAGTCCTTTCTCAAAAAATCTGAAAGATACCTTCAAATTCAAGGCAAAAAAGACAGATGACAGCACAAGAAGCCAGGAAACACAAAGCAATGACCAAGAGGATGGTATGGGCAGGAGAACTGTGATGCATTTGTTCAACGAGAAAGAGGAGGATGAATTACTGAATGACCTTGGAGAGAAAAACTTTTCTGATAATGACAGTCAGCTCTCCATTTTTAAGCGGCCAGGTCTTGGCAAGATTGTATTTGGAAGGAATTTGGCTGCGGATGTAAATCCTGGAACTGTGTCTTCTGAGAAAGAAGGTACAAGCTTTAAAATGTCCAGTGAGCTCTTTCAGTATGAAAATGCTGAGAATAGCAGGGAAGATGATGCTGAAAATGGTGCTGATATCCCTTGGCACGAGGAAGAAGTCATTTGGGATGATGAGGAAGCAGAGAACACGCCCCTTGAGGTATTTCTGGCATCACAGATGCTGGATGAGTTTCTTCCAGTCTTCATGAGGGAAAAAATTGATTTAGATGCCCTAATGCTATGTTCTGATGAAGATCTACAGAGCATTCAGATGGAGCTTGGGCCAAGAAAGAAAGTCCTGAATGCTGTCAATAAAAGAAAACAAGCACTGAAGAACCCTGGAAAGACTGTGGATACTTGCTTATAATTTAACATACCTGCTGCTGTAACCTGCACACTGATCATTCTTTTTCCAAAAACCATGCAATTCTTTTCAGATTTCTGCTAAAGCAAAAGGCAGAGAGGTTACCAATTGCTTTGGAAAGTACATCAAGGACTAAGATTTTTCTTTCTGGACAGATGGCTGTGGTGCACAGGATATTAATCCAAGCATATTCTGTGGGGAAAAAAAAAATATACGAAACTAAAAACTCAAAAGCTATAGATTTAAACCCTTTTCTCCCTGAACTGTTTATGGGGATTGGATTTCTTCTCATCAGAATAACTTGAAACATTAGTGAAGGCCAGCCACGCTACATTCCTTAATAAAGCCCTTCCCTTCTTGTCCAAAACCACAATGCAAAGAACATTCCCAAAGCTTCATAGCTTTGAGTTTTCTCCATTCGCTTCTGTTAGATTGCTGCAAACTGCCCTTCCTGGTACTGATGATACGTTAGAAATAGCATCTGAATTTTGGTTTCAGCAATGGCTTATTGACTCTAATACCCTCTGAACGAACATAAATAGGACTAATTTACAGCAAGTTTTTTTGTCCTTGTCAGAAAAGTGTTTTGCTACTGTACTGATATTAATTTAAAAATATATGAAGTGCCTTGTCAGATGTTCGGTGCGAGTTATATATTCTTTTCTCTCGTCTCATTAGACTGGACCTAGTTGCCAGCATGCACTGTTAAAGAATATTAATCATTTTAGACTAAAAGGTTGGATCTTTTAGAGTTAGTTGCTTAGCATTAGGCCATAAAAATGAACTATGGATGGAGCCTCTCAATACTGCGAAGAAGCTTGACATGGCAGAACTTGGTTAGCACAAGTGGCTTGATTTGCTGAAATCTTAGGCCACAAGCTGCAAACTTTCACTTACAAAACTTGAACTTATCTTGAACTGTAGCTTAGTTATGTGAAAGGGAGGCCCTGAAACCAGTGCAAACCAGACGATAAGGAAGCTACGGCCATCAGTGGAAGCTGCAACAAGAACAGCCAAGAGCCCCTCTGGAAGACAGAGAAAGAATCCACTAAGGACCAGGAAGACCCCAGATCAAAAATTACCATTGGACCAACTGTCACCCGGACAGCACGTGAAGAGCGCATAAAGGCATGGGAACTTGGATTGTAAGGTATAATTGCCCAGGAATTTATTTTCTCAGGGTCCCTCCTCAGAGGCACTCAGCTCAAACTGTTACCATCCAAATAAATCAATTATTTTTCTAAAGATTTGAAGTCTGAGACTCTGCTATGGGAAACCTAGAGCAAAGAGATTTCTTTAACACCCATCACATCCCAAAAGGCATCAAGACTGCAATACTTTTAACTACAGAATCTGAGGTTTTATTTTCAGCATTTTTGATCTGTTTTGGTATATCCTCACCTTGGTTCCTATAAGGCACATTTGCCATGTGAAGTCCCAGAAACCAGGACTCTTATCACCCAGCATTGTCTGCTGGTTGTTGTCAGCCTCAGCCTGAAAACTGCACACACTCAGCTCATGAAAAGAGAAAGAAAAGGAGACCATGCTTCTGTGGAAGCTCCTGTTCTTTACAGTCTGTCTGGAGGCATTCACAGCAGGGTTCCCTTCATCTCTCTTGGGCCTGTTCCCCTGGGAAGACAGCACTATCCGACATGAATTAATCACTTCTGGGGAGTTTTGTGAATCTAATAAGGTGCTTGTGGCAGTCTTGCTCTGGCTAAGATCTCAGATTTTAGAGGCACAATTATTAACATGACTTTTATCTTTAAATCTCTTTCTATAGCTTTCCATTAGTCAGCTATCATTTCTTCCTTTGAGGCATACTGCATTTGAGGATGCTACTCCTAGTTAATAATCTATTTTTTCATGCTTCCTTCTTTCCACATCTTCTTGTTACTCTGATTTGTACACTATAACTCCTTGTCTTGGCTGGACTTTATACTGCATTCTTTCCTCCTTAGATTCCTGTACTTCAGCAGGTTATTTTCTCCTATTAAGCAGTCACATCAGAGTCCTGTTCTGTGCAACCTTAAATGACGGTTCTGCTTAGCACAGTAATTAAATCAGACAGCATGCCCCCAGGCTCTGTTATTAACCTGCCGTGTTGTTTTCATTTTAGCCAAGAAACACCCAAATGTTTAATAAAGCAAGAAGGACATTATGAATCTTCCATATTTGAAGGCATGTGATGAGTGGATTTTGAAGGGTCAAATCCTATCATTCTCAGTCACATAACTGATGTATTTGCTGGATCTCCACCCGCCCAAATGCTTGTGACCTGCTCCCAACACACCATCAAAACATAAGTGAGTGCTGTCACTTATGGAGGACCCATCCAATAACTGCCATTATCACAGAACAGCTTCAGCAGTTCTGGGACAGACCCCAAGTATCTCTAAATTGCACTGAAAACCTGCCTCTGCATACTCACCTGTAAATGTGCCTGACTGCTGTAACCTCTGACAACCAGAGATAATGGCACAGACTATACACACATAAATTGATTGACTCAGTTGTCACAAGCATCCAGCAGGCATCCACAGTAACTCTATGGAGCTAGCAGATTCAGTGCAAGATCTATGGGAAGGAGTTCCTTGTCCTTCTGGAACTGCATACAGAGACTGAATAAGAAGCCCCAGAGCACCCCACATCACTTAATTTTAGGCAACTGAATCAACCTCAATATATATATATATACACACACCCCCCTTTAAAATAAATTATTTTTTAAAAAAGTGCAATAGTGCTAGTACTTTTCTTGCAGGGTGGTCCTGGAAATTGGCCTCTGGTATAAAGCAGCCATGTGGAACAATTCAGGGGGAAAAAAAAAGAAAAAAATAAAATAGAAAGGAACAGTCACATTTCTGTTTTTTCCACTTATGTGCTTTGCTGTTTTCCAAGTTCTTTCTCTTAGTTTCTTTTATAGTTTGATTAAAATTAGTGAATCCCAGATCTGACTCCTTAGAGACATTTGTACAGCACAGTTCAGTTGGAGACATCTTATGTATCATGTGCAATCTTATAGCCCAGTCCAAATCCAAATCATAAAACCATGGGATCTCACATGACCACAGCCCTACCAAGTACAAGATTCTCCTTCCTTAAGGATTTAATACTCTGCACTGGACAGACATCAAGAGGAGGGAATGCACAGCATGGGATAATGACTGCAAAACTGAGTATCACAGTGGAACAGAGCAGTTTCAATTTATGTTCCCCTTTACATTCAGTGACCATATTTACTGAGAGAGTAGTCACCGCAACAACTTGAATACTTTCTTCCTCATCTTCAAAAAAAAACCCCACCACCCAAACCAAAAGTAATGAACAACAAAATGAAAGTCAAAGAAAACCAGCAGTATCTATTTAATTTTAACATAAATGCAAGTTACACAATTTCTTGAGCTGATTTGTAAGAGAAGGAAACATGGAAATTAAGGCTATTATTCCCCCCCCCCGCCCCCCCCAAAAAAAAACAAAACACAAAAAAACCACACTTAAAGATGGCATCCAAGCAACTCCCATTGTAATTGAACCAAGTCCTCTTCATGAATTCAGAGGTACAAGGCTGAAGCCAGGCTCCCAGAACCTCCTCTTGCCAGTGAAAGCTGATAATACAGTGGGTTTTCAGAACGAGGTTTTTGGACTACTTCCATCTACTTTTAAAGTGCATAGTCTGTAGAAGAGTACATCTGAAAACAAACTGTATTTGTCTTCTTCCCAAACACTATGTCTCACTTCAAATTACAAACTTTGTTTTACACAGGCACAGAACTGGGATAATGTTGTCATAAGTAGTAAGTGCAAGTTTCCATACAGTTCTTGAAATATGGAACATCAATGGCTGTCACGTTTGTCTCAAGCTAGTGAAGCTCTCTATCACTGAAGTAACAGGCTAAGTCAACACATTTCTGAACACTTCAGAAATGACAAAGACAAAAAAAAAGTCGGTAAAAATAGAAGGGTAATTTTGCTACAATTAAAAAATGCAAAAGCTTATAGAGAAATTTCTGTTCTTGTTTCTGCTGATATAAACAAGATCAATGGAGTTAGATTTCTGCCCACACAAACACATCCTTTGGCCCTATTCACTCACTGGTCTGGTACCCTTCTATGCTAAATCTCTGCAAATTACAAACTCTGCCACTTCCTACTTTTTTCCAACTAGTTTACGCCAGGCTTATGATTTGGAGTATTATGTCACACCTGCACTGTACTCATTAACCTCTTCTATACTTACTTAGGCACCACCAAGGGCTTTAACACTAACTGCTTCTGAACTTCCTTCCTGTTGCTCCACTGTATTCTTCTGGCATCAATATAGCATGACCATGTAATCTAATCCTTCCAGAGAGTAAAGAAACACTTAACAGCCTGCATGAAATAATATGTAAGTAGAAATAAAATTTCATAAGGCACAACTCTAGCGTGAGACAGAATTTTGTTTCCAGAGCAATAGCTGTTTTTCAGCAGATGCTCATTTTTTTGTAAGGTAGTTGCATAACAGCATAAGACTGGAACTTTTCCTTACGTAGAACATCACTGGGCTCCTCCACCAAGAAAGGATCATGGAAATCCCTGCCCCACCAAATACCCACTGGGATAAAAGAACAATTACCAACTGATGCATGGTACAGCCAAGCTGGAAATACTTGCTTGTATACTTGAAGTCTACCCTACTGAAATCAATTTGCACGGTTCCAACCTTCAAGCATCTTAGAAAAAGAACTTACAAACACCATAGATTTATAACAAAATCTATCTCCCCACAGAATACAGATAAAAGTTAAATCAAAACACATTTTTAGTGCTCACATTTTGGGTGACTCCTTGCAATATGCAAATGGCAATATCCTACCCAGGAATGTACTAAGGGAGGTATTAAGTACAGTTTCCTCCCAGTTAAAATGTACATAATATTAGCTCTGATTTTTTGCACTTTAATTCTTCCTGAGCCAGGTCTTTCACAAAACCAGAAAGAAACCTAACTGTATGGAGGCATC